TGACTGAAGCTCCCAACTGCTCCTTTTTTTCTTTTTTCTTCTTTTTTATTCTGGGCCAGCTTTAGCTCTGAGGTCTCGCTGCTGAAAACATCGATACAATGTTGCGGTCCGGCTGGCTGAAGCGCGGCTGAATGAAAGCCGGTTTCTGGGGTTTTGTTTAGCTTCTATATTTGCAACATAGTTGCTTAGAGTTGCAGCTGAGAGGCTGGCAGCGGCAGGCGGGGAACGTTGGAGGTCGCCATCACTGGAGCTAGCAAGCCTCCCTGCTCGCTTCAGTGCATGGCTGCCAGCCGCCATCTTGGCTGACAGTTAGTTTGCATAAGGATATGCTGATTAGCCAATGGGAAGGGTAGCGGTCGTACACTAATTACCATGTTTCTCTTTTATTAGTGTAGATATCATACATTCTTTCTGCCTCAAAGAGGAAAAAAAATCACAAGCTATTGTTTTCAGTATACAACATACATATTTTCCCTGCTCCATTCTTACAAATTTGCACAGTTTCAAATGTTCACTTCCACACACTAAAAGTTTTCTGCCAGATTATGAAACAGGAATTTTTAGGGCTGAAAAAGACAGGTTTTAGAAAATTTTAGAAATTAAGGGGACCATGGAAGAAGCACAGGGCCTAAGAGCAGCAGAAGGTATATTTCCATAGAATGAGGGAGCTGGGAACAGCAAAAGGTCTATATTTACAAAATAAAGGGAAGGAAGCCCTTCATCCAGAAGAAGAAGAAGAAAGTCTAAAGGGAATAGGAAAACAATAGGGAAGGAGCGGGGAGAACCTCACATGTCCCATGTGAGGTTGGACCTTTGAGCTCAGGAGTTACTATAGTAACCAGTCTAAGGGAATAGTGACCAATCAGAGGGGATATTAAGGCACCAGGATCTGTAGCCTTTATAAGCCATAAGAAAAAGGAACTCAGGGGACCCTTTCCCCCTCCCCACGTGGAAGTCTGTACTTGTTCTTTAATAAATTTCCACCTTTGCTATACCATCTTCTGTCCGTGGATTCATTCTTCGACTCCAGCAGACAAAGAATCCGGTTCCAGTCCAGGGAAACACCATGTGATCCAGTCCCAAAATTACATATCAATTACATTTTTCACATTGCACTGATTCATTTCACAGTGTCCCCCTACTCTCCAACTTAACTGATTTTTAATGTCAGAAGAAGTTTCAGTGTGGAATTATTTTTAAATAGTTTTATTGTGATATTATTTATTTGCTAAACTATGCACTTTTTAAAAGTGTACAATTCAGTGGTTTTTAGTATATCCACAGAGTTGTGTGATCATCATTGCTATCTAACTTTAGAATATCTCATCACTTTTCCCAAAAGCCCAATATACATTAGAACTCATTTCACTTTCCTCTCTTGCAAACAGGCCAAGAATACCACTAATCTACTTTTGGTCCCCACAGATTTGTCTTTTCTGGACATTTCACTTGAAAGGAATCATAGGAAGCTATGAAATCAAAGAAAAGTAGACAAATGCATAATACAGTATATTATAAACAAAGTTCATACCACAGTAATAAAAAAATGTGTTCAATTTAACCAAAGTAGTGTTCCACTAATGGAGACTTTATCTACATACAGAGTTGATGCCATGTGTATTATCCATTCTGCAACCTGAAGTCTTCAAAATAATGAATAATTCTAGGCTATAGAAACACCCAAAGAAAATAATAGGTACTATACTAGTATAAGCAGGCAAGGACAGAGATATTACTAAAACCTTAAATCTATAATAACAATTAACTTCACAGTCATTGTGATGAGACTCTAATGAAACAACTATAGACCTAAATGTTTCTATGGGACAGGTAGATAATGAGCAATATTTCTTTGGGTAATCTCTATAAACAACCCTTATACAATCTTCAAATACTATATTGCGATTGTTTCTATAAAAAATTATTGCTATTTAGACTTCACAAAATTTTATTTTCTCTGTTCCTATTTATTCATAGGTATGAAATTAACAAGAGATAACTTTCTAAAAATCTTTAAAAGGAAATAAATCAAAATTTTAGCATAAAATTCATTTATAATTTTAAAAGATTAGAATTAAGTCTTTGGAAATCTAGCAAGATCAAATCATTTTTTACATTGCTCTGCATCTACACTAATAAAAGAGAAACATGCAAACTGGTGTCACTCCGCTACCCTTCCCATTGGCTAATCAGGGCGATATGCAAATTAACTGCCAGCCAAGATGGCGGCCGGCAGCCAGGCAGCTTGAAGC